AATATTTTGTTTTTGGTGTATTTTGTTTTGTTTTTAGTGCATTTTGTTTTGTTTTTAGTGTATTTTGTTTGGAAGTCGGTTTTGTTTTTAAAAGTATAACTCATTATTAATCAAATTAAAACAAAAATTAATTATTCCCATGCTATATAAAGAATTTAATAACCTCACGTTAGCAATAACTAATTTTCCGCCATAAAGTGTCGAAAAGGTCGCCGAAAATTTATAGAGAATGTCTAATTAACAATAAATAAATGGGCAAGGTTTTGAGGTTCAGTAGTGTTTGTGGAATAGAACAAGTTCACGCGAGTAGCTACCGCACGCATTCGCCTTATAATTGTTCAACAAAAACTCCATGAAACCGACAAATTAATCATTAACGAGCTTACATAAACCGCATTTATTAGTCGTGTAATACAATACTCTAAAAGTGTGTACTCATTAGTAATATCCTAATACTGAAGGGTTCTAACACTTGTAAGTCTGTGTATAAAATTTAGTAAATTTTACAGATAAACAATAATTAAAGGAACTAGTAAATGTTATCATTGCCATAATTTTATTTTAATTAATAGTTTTATGCTATGAGTTTAAATGTTATCGAAACATTGAGACCGTGGTCACTGGTGATGAACTTTTAATGTTTTTAATTGTAGATTGACTGTGAAAAAATGTGAAATATTAGTAAATAACATAATAGACCTATATCCAACAGTAGGCAGATAAATGCGGACGATGGTGATGATGATGATGATGAAATACTCTATGCATTATTGGACCATAGTAGATATTGTATCGAATAACATGGGCGTCGTTTAGGAGACTTTATTTATGGTAATTAGATTACCAACCCTTAGTTACCTAATAACTGAAGACGTGATTTGTTTTATCCAGAAACGTGAATGAACGTGGGCGTTTAACTTTTGGATTTTTAAAAGATATTCGACTAATATTAAAAATTACATTCACGTCTTTAACCTTTTATATTTAAATGCTAATCGTTTACAAATTAGTTTCCAGACTCCCCTCGTGCTTGGAGTTATATAAAATTAACAATGATTTAAACAAGTAATCAAATATTTATTGTAAACAGCATTAGAGATTCATTTTATGATCTCATTGGATTATAAGTTTTATATGCAGAGATCTTACTTTGAAGAGAACTTTAATATTCAATTGATTTATTTATTAAAGCAATTGAACGACTTTATGGTTTAAATATTAGATGTATTAAAAGTTTTCTTAATATATCTATACTATTATAATAAAGCGTAAACACACACTTCTTTATTGCCTAAGATATCAGCAATTACAGAATGTTTTTGAATAATGCTTTTTTTAATACAAAGCCCTACACTAGCGTCACGCTTTAGGCTATATTTTAACGCCATTAAACTTAGGGATAAATATTTTGGTTAAAAACCCCAATGTGAAAAAGAGACCATAAGTTGCTGCCAACATCAAGGAAGCAAGGTTGTCATCATGTCATGTTTTTTGACATTTGTAATTGATAATTTGACAAATAAAATTTTCATAACTTCATGCGGATGCAGTCGCACGGAAAAAGCTAGTTGTTTATAAAATAAAAAATGCATTTAAAAAGTGTAGAATTGAACAGGAATTGGTCAAGATAATTACGGACATTACATTAACGACTCCGAGAGCTTATTTATTTGGATAAAGTTAGCAATATATTACAAAGCCTAACAGAGTTATTAATTTAACTGTACAGTAATTCGTTCAATGCTGCCAATTATTGTATTAAAAGAAAGAGGGCTGACCGCCGGAATGATTGATATAAAGTGGGGTCATTTTTCATATTGTCGGGTTAAATGAAACCTAGCTAATAGTGTTCGTGCGATTACTTGAGGGTCAGAGCGGAACACGACAGGACACGAAAGCTCTGCGACGACGGCCCGCTATTGTACCGGAATACCTATGTATTACTAGCTGTTACTCGCGAATTCGCCCGCGTGAAAATATAAAATGATAAAAAGTATAGCCTATGTTACTTTTTTTTTTTATATAACATAAGGTGGCAAACGAGCAAGCGGACACCTAAACCCGCCAAAACGGCGAAGCGACCGCTGCCCATAGACATCCGCAA